TATATTCAATACTCTTCTCCATCACTATAGCTCAAAGGCATCAATTATCTTTCTATCCTTTGAAAAGTTTTACTCTTCTCAACACTAACTATATCATTATTAACTAACAATATCAAATATGTGTTATAATTATTAATATTGTTACTGAAATAAACAATAAAGTTCAAAGGAACATTTTTTTAGAGGATATTTGCCCTGTAACTCATATCTACAGTAATTGTAGGAATCATTTACATCAAGAATCTTAGCAGCAGAAATCAGCCTTTCATGTGTTTCATTAATTTTATCTTTTTAAATTTAATAGAAATCCAGCTTAGCCCTTTATTTCAACCATTGCCATTGCTATCATGTAGTTGGGTACTGTTATGTTGCTTTTTTAATTGTAGAGACTCCATATGGCTAGCTTGTCATTTTTACTGAAGCAAATCTCCAGATCTTTTCTCATGACGCTACTGTGTACTATGTGGGCTCAAACTGCCCACTCTTCTGCCAGAAGCTAAGAGTTTGATTACTGCATCACCAGGGCTCTCTCTCAGCATACTATCCCAGGTTGCTGCCCATTCCTTGCGTGGTCACTTGGAACCATTAACCAGGCCTCTTGTTCTCAGAATCAGCCTTTTCTTTTGATTCTTACTGATGGCAAATTTATTTTCAGAGATTTTGCAAATCTCTTATGGATTGATTTTCTTCAAGAAATTGTTCAAAGTTTCCACGGTCGTGACTAATTAGGATTTGACACATTTATTTTCACCCTTTCCTAAAGCTTAATTTCACTATTGCAATTATTGAAGACCCAGTGGAAACCCCTTTCATCTCTTTATGTAATTTTCCTATATTAGTTAGTTCCATTTGTCTTTTAAGAATGCTTTTCTTCTTAGTGCTCACTTGTAAATTTATCCTGATATAGTCACAAAATATTGGCCCAAAATAAGCAATCATTTGATGGGAGGCAAAAGTATGTCATATCTGCTGCATATTCTTGACTTGTATGCATTTTTGTTCAAAAACAAGGAAGGCACACACACAATTCCATGATTTAAGATGATAAATAACAAATCTTTGGTGAAATTTCATCTCCAGTGGTGAATTTTTAAAACTTTATTAGGAGAGAAACAAACAACAATTAAACACACAAAATCACACACACAAGAAGTCTACTGTATCATGTCACTGCTTTCAGCATACTGTCCGGATTAATGATTATTTTTTTTTATACTTACGATTCAAAGTTATTTTCTTATTTCAGATAACATATTTTTCCCTTGGTTGAATGTTATTAATTTTATTTCTTGCAAAAAGAAATGTCACAGTAATACCACATATTTTCAGTTGTAACAAGCCCGTTGTGATTCGAATGCAGCTGAAATCACTCTTCTTAAGCATTAAGGTGTATCAGACTCTTTTACTCTGGATTTTGATAGATAAGCATTCTCTTACATCTGTATAATTTACATACTTATAGTTATTTCTTTATCTGAGCTTTGCTTATGGTGAATACTTTCAGGTTAGAAATTGTCTTGTTTTCTTGTATGCACTGTACTTGACCCACACAGATTGTGTACACTGCCCTATTAACAAATTTTCTCAAAGAAAATGTCATTAAAGTTTTGGGAAGATGCAAGAATTTATATTCAACTGAGGCCAAAAATGTTTTAAAGAGTCATAAATTTATTTTTAGACATTTTGATGAGCAAAATGGATAGGAATGCAGGTCTGGAATCAGATTGCCTGGAGCAGAATCCTACTTCACTACTACTATTAATCATTGTGGGAACTTGGGAAAGTTCCTTTATGTCTCTGTGCTTTAATTTCTCTGTGAGTAAAGCAGAGATGATATTAGCTCCTATAACAAAAGATATTTTTGAAAGGAAAAATTCTACCCATTATTTCCTGTGAATTGCATGGGATAGCCTAATAGCACATATTTAAAAAGTGTCTTTAAGTAAATGAAAGACTTTTGATCCTTTTCAAGTCCATATTTGTGTGCATTAGCCCCTGTCTACATCTCTGAAGCATCCCCTTATCACTTGCTACCAAATTTCTATCTTTGTTATTATTTGATTTAATAGAAAGCAATTTAGCCATCACTTTTGTTGTTTTAACATATTTATGAACAATGTCTCTTGCAGTTACTGCTCCAAGTGGTTTATCAAGGCATTTTCCTAGAACATGTGTCTCTCTAGATAAAATTCTGGAATCAATTGACTGTATATATTTGCATGTGTTTATGTCTAATAACATCATCATTTTTTTATACTGTATATTGGTCCAAATTAGCCACAAACCTTTGAAGGGGGTATTTAAGTATCACCACACTTTGCGTTCAAGAGACTTTTTGCTCAAGGTCAGTTGCTGAGTTAATGTAGAGATTTACAACATTGTCTACTCCCTAAACGGGAGCTCCTTCTACCATATACTTGGTCAGTTATCTGTTCAATGTCATTTAATCCTCACAGCAATCTCACACCTATTGCTATCACTTTTTACAAGTAAGGAAACCAAGGCTTTTTTGGGTGTCAAGCAGATTCTAACTCATAGTAACTCTAAAGCGTTTCCAAAGATGGAATCTTACCAAAATAAACTGCCACATCTTTCTCTGTCACTTCCAGGTACAACCTTCCAGTTTATCAGCCTAGCTTAAACACTGAGCCACCACAGCTCCTTAGCTTGCATACAGGTGGTAAATATCAAAGCCCAAATCAGACAGCCTGCCTTTGCAGGGTTCCTTCTTACAATTATCCCAAATTAAAGGGGACTAGATAGAGAGACAGCATAGGGGTATCCAGGTTAAATATATATTTAAGAAGGTTTCTTCTAATGTGCTCCACTCAGAGCTGGTGTTGAAAGAAAAATAACCCCCTAAAGGAATCCTATGGGATTGCTTTGGAATGCTAGCAATTCAGCCAAACTGAGTTCAGGCAGTACTGTTAAAAGGCATTATTAGCCTCTCAGGTTGGTTCACAAGATGCAAATGAAATGTTAATGCTAAAACCAAGTGGGAGAAACTACTAATTTTGAGAGGAAAAAGACATAAGAGCTCTACTCTAAAATACTATCACTGTCGAGATAACCCGGAGGACAAGATCAGCAGGCTTTTGACAAAAAACCGCAGATGAAAATAGAGTTTAATAGTCCTCAAGCCCGAAAGAAGAAGAAGAAAAAAAATAATCAAGCACTCTTACTCAGTGTATGCTTTTTTGGGATGAGCTTCTCTTGCTCATCTAGTTGGTGCTTTCTGATGAAAGCACAGTACGTGACAATTGCTAGTTGGCATTCTGTGCTGGAGACCAGCTTCCCACTGGGGTGACCCTGTGATGCGCGAAAGGCTATTTTATGCCCCAGCGAAGTGGTTCAGGGACCAAGATTTTATTATGCTTCAGGGATGTGAATTGCGATCCCTCATTCCCTGATTTAGAGCCACTTAAGGCTCCGACAGCTCCATCCCGGTGTTCTAGAGGAAAATATTCCTTCATGCTCTCTGCCTGATCTGAAAGCAACACAGCTTCCCGATGTTCCGCCTGGGAGGTGGTTCAATCTTTGGAAATTGTCAGAGAAGCTTGTCCATCTGCTTTCTGGAATAGACCAGGAGGAGTTTGTCTTTTAATCTAAGTAACTTGAGGATTTTCTGCTTTTGGCTCTAATTTCGTCGCTTAATTTAAATTACAAGAGACACACGCTTGGGTTTTTGTAGACAGTGGGAAAATCCGTATGACGAAATGTGGTCTAGAAATTCCTGATTTAATTTCCCCTGGGCAAAAGCAAGTATCTTCGTATTTGCTACTGGACAGTCAGTCGATCCTAGTGGTGCGCCTCCAACAGAAAATGGTGGTACAGGAAGAGGGGGGAAATTAAACTGGTACTCGGATTAATTTAACCTCTCCTTTCCCTGCGCGTCCTCCAGCTCTCCACCCTTGGTCAACCAGGAGATCGTTCTGACAACTTCCAGGAGGCGAATCCCCAGATTTGCCAGCCCTTCAGCTCCCTCTTCCTCCACAGCCTTTCCTGCCCTAGGACCCAAGGTGCCAGTCCCCGGGGAGCTCTTGCAGTTTCCCATCACATTCTTTATGAAGGGGCACCCTGCAATATCACCACCGAGCAAGTCCGGGAGACGCAGAAGCCACGGGCATCTGGGGGCGAGGAGAGGACAGTGTGCCTATTTGCACCGCAGCGAGGCTAAGCGGGCTGGAGAAGCGGGAGCTGATGTCACTAGGGTGCTAGGAGCGCCCTGGGGGGACAGGAAAACCGGGGGTGGTGGTGGTGTTGGTGGCGCCCTCCTTAGCGCGCGTTCGCGCGCGGCTCCAGAGCCGGCTGCCATTGGTGGGGGCGGATCAGGGGGCGGAGCCTGTAGGAAGGTCCGCCAGCCGGTAGCTCCCAGTGTTGAGCTCAGGCCCGGACTCGGTCCTGCAGCGCCTCTAGGCTGCCGATCGGCGCTCCAACCACCTGCTCGGTGCAGCGGCCAGGGGGAGCTGGGAGAGGAGAGGAGGGCGGGACGAGGCAGAGGGAGGAGGAGAAAGGCAGCTTACACGCCTTCCAGTCCCTCCACTCAGAACAGCCCGGACCGAGACTGCCGCCGCTGCCGCTGCCGCTCCACTGCAATCACTGTTGCTGCTCTAGCTGCCGCCGCCGCCACTGCCACCTGAGGAGACTTCCTGGACCCACCGCCTCCTGCACAGCTCCCTGAGGTTCCTTCCCAGCACCTGGGCTTTTCACGTGCACTGCCCCTGCCATTACCATTATTTTTACTATTGCAAGAGGACGAAAAGCTGAAAGCAACCCCCAAAAACCACGTACACTTTTCCAAAATCACTCAAGTGTCTCCCGGGAAGAGAGAGAGGGGTCGCCTGGTCCGGGGAGGAGCTGCTTGCCAGGGGCCCCGAAGCAGGGTGTTAAGAGGACGGGAGAAGGAGTTGGAGGACACCGCCTGCCTGGTGGAAAGTTGCGTGCGCCGGGAAGCCAAAGGCGCAGCGCCCCAGCCCGGGGGTGGGGGCGCGGTGTGTTGGCGAGAAGCCGCTGCCCCCTGCGTCCTGTCCCGTGAGCGAGCGCGCAGCGCGGGGCCCGGAACGACGCCCCCTCCTGCGGCGCGGACTCTGTCGGTGGCCTGGGAGGAGGAGGAGGAGGAATATGGCTTCGAAGGCGATCCCCTCCTGCCGTCTGGTCTTCTGCCTCCTGTTCTCTGCGGTTGTCCTCAGACCAGGTGAGTAGAGGGGGACCGCGAGGGAGCTGCCCAGGCTGGCGCGCACCCGGGGCAGTTTCCTTGGTCCCCCCGCCCGGGGCCTTGTACCCTCGGGGCTGTGCGTCCTGGGTAGGTGTTGGAGGAAAGATGGGGTCATTTCCCCTCCCTACCGCCCTAAAACTGACCCTGGGCTCGGTCATCTGTACCTTACATTTGGGCTCGGCTGTTTGGCTCAAGTTTGGGCAGCGAGAGGGGGGCAATGGGTGAACCTCCAGGAACTTTGGGTGCGGCCGAGGTTGGGGTTGCAGGGGCCCGAGCGCGCGCAGGATTCATCAGTGTCCTCGTCCCCCAGCGGCTTTCTGGCTTTGGCAGCCTCATCTCACTCTCTGAACAACCCTCCTATCTCTGGGTATCAAAGTCCACCTCTCTGCGTGCGCCCCAGGCAATTTTTCTTTCGCTTAGTTCCCAGAGGAAATAACTGCCCGCACTTTTTTTCATAATGAATCCCGCCAGCAACTTCCTCTTGGTAGGAGGTGAGGAAGGCATGGGTTGAAAGAAAGGACTTCATTCACCCCAAACCTTGCTGCTTACAGTCTTGGTTTTAATGCCTGCTCCCCGGTTGCAGGGAGGTGATTAGTAACTGTGGGGTTGACAGTAAGGGAAAGACCACAGCCTGCGCTGGAGTTAGCCCGCTCTTGAGACCTGAGTAAGCGCCTGTGAATTTCCAGGACCTGCGGTTCAGTTCTCAGTTCTTGAGACTGAGTGTGTGGAGGGGGGAGATAAAACCCTCACCAACTAAAATATCTCGCGGGAATTCCCTCGTTTGCCCCCAGGGATGTCCCCTGGCCCAGCCATCCTGGTGTCCGGGCGCCTGACCTGAATTGGTGCTAACAGGGCATTCTGTACTCTCCTGGTCACTTGACCGAGCAGCAGGTTCATTCCCTCCTATGACCTGAGGGCTTTTGGAAAACATTTTTTTTTCTTCTTCCTTGAAGTTTTGATCTTCAAAGACAGTTCCAAGTTGAATTTCCCCCTCCTGTTATTTGACTGCTGTTCCTACCCCCCCTTTTTTTTTAGCTTTTATCAAAGAAAGGCTCACTTCCTCTCGCTTCTTTCATTCCTACACATCACCTCAGTCCTTGGCAAGCTGAGGCCACCAAAGAGGTTTCAAAATCTCTGAATCTCTCCCAGGAATAAGGGGAAAGCGTGGCTGGAGGCCAGCTCTTGAGGGAGAGATTGCTGTGTATGTGAGCTGCTGGATTCTGTGTGTATCAGGGGAGTATCTTCTCCTGATCTCTTTATTAAAGTTACGTTTGTGGATGAGGTAATGAGCTCACCTGCTGTCCTGAGGCTGGAGCGTAAAAAGGGCTGGTGTGACGAATCACAGGGAGTGTGTGTGTTGGGTGGGTGGGTGGGTGAGTTGAACCGGATTTAAAGCAGTAGGGGGAGGGGTAAGAGCAACCATGAGGTGGAAAAGAGAGACACCCCCCCCCCCCTTAAGGTCTGGCGTACTGTCAATTTCACTTTTCCTTTATCCCAGTATTGGGTTGGGGAAGGAAGGAAGGACACTTGCGTTGGTGTGATGAGAAGGGAGAGTGGGAGCTGAGGTGATGTAGTTTGTAAAATGCAAAGATCAACACGACAGTAGTCCCATGGCAGTTTAACGCTCTTTGCTGCTTTGTTGGTGAGACTTCACCCACCTCCCACAACCGGGGCCACACGCAAGCTCTCTACTTCCCTTGCGGTTGCCCTGGAATTTATTTTTTCAGTTGGACCTCGTCTGAAGACTTTGTGTGTTGGGTGTTTGTTTTTGTGTGTGTTTTTTTTTTTTGTTTTTGTTTTTTTTTAATCACGTCTAACTGCTAGAATGTAGAGGTTCCGCCTTCAGACTTCCCTTGCAGCTCCTGTACATTTGGTTTCTCTGGCTTGGGTTTCCTGCAGGCACTGAGCTGCCTGCATTCGCCAGACCAGGAAGAAAAAGCATAGGAGCCTCGCCGCTTGGGCGGGGGTCACATGTCTTGGATGCATAATCTGGTGGTTTCCGTGACATTTACAAGCTTGCATATGCGCGAAATTCTCTGTACTGTTTCGGTGTTTTTTGAAGGAAAGAATTATGTCACCCAAAGGCTCCGTGTCCACACTCTCGACTCATATCCTGACCAGAGAATGCACCGCCTTGCTTAGCTGAGTCCATAGGCGTGCAGAGCCAGTGGTTTAATCCAGGCATCTAATTGACTTCCCCACTGGCACCTGTCATCTCAGCAGCACTTTTAATAGAATGTGTTCAGATACTGACGCCAAACAATCGCGTTTATGAAACGGCTTTCGCTCTGACCATACTTCCCCTTGTATGTGGGCTTTTGGCCTGTTGCTTATTACACATTGATACATTGTAGGCATGCGATGTTACCTGGTTATTGGGAAGCTGATACGTGTAAACTATGAAAACTAGATTTCGAGATAAAGGCAGAGAAGTATGTGCCCTGTGTCTGAGCTAGCAAGAATCTCATTATTTTTGTCGAAAGAGCGTCAGCCTGTGGTGACATTTTGTATTGCTTTATAAAAGGTTTTCTTTGATTATTTACAATGAGAAGGTGGCGCAACAGTTAACTGTTTCTTAGGTCAGCTGTGTGCATTCTTTGGAATTTGACATCAGTCTCATTTTAGGATGTAAGGACATGTAGAGCTTTGTTTTAAGATGATATGAGGTTTGAATCGCGTCAGTTTAGCTCAAGAGGCCTTGGGAAATGCTTCAACTGTCATAGTGTCCTTTTCAGACTAAGGTGGGGTTTTGAAAAAAAAAAGTTTCAAAACAGCAAACTAAATTGTAGCCTGTAAATATTGTTATATTTTTGATAATTTGGTTAATCCAATAGTAATAGGAGACTGTAACATTCTGCTTTTCTGGGCTTGTCTCAGGCCCATATACCTTCAGGCACTTGAACAAGTCATTGAACCTTTTTGGGCTAACGCTTTTTCATATGCCAAACAAAAGGATGGACTAAAGACATGTTTTCCAAGATTTCTTCTAGTTTAAAACTTGTTTTGTTTCTAGTATTTAAAGAAAAATATCTAGATATTTCTCTTTAGGTGTATGTGGAGACCAATTACTGTTTTATCAGGCTTTCTATAAACTCATTATAAATAATCTCTGCCTTCTCCTGCAGCTATGCATAGGATTTAGTAAAGGGGGTGGGGAGAAGTTACAGACGAATTAGTCACCACCCACTTGCCTAAGGAAAAAAGATTCAAGAATTGAGAGAGGTTTTTAGGTTGCAAAATATTCCATTTAATGTGTGGCCTGACTGACCTCCTGGAAGCCTGTGTCTATCTGTAGTTCATAAACACCTCATATAGTTTCAAGAATGAGGTATAAATGATGGGTTGATGCTAATAAGTTCACGTGATAATACCTTAAATGTACTCTAAAGGTACTTGTAAACAAAGTAGTTGATTTGCATCATGGTTATAGTGCTATCTAGAAGGAAAGGTAAAACACATATTTTCCTTTTGTTTAAAACCATAGGAATTCAAAAAAGTTTGCTTTTATGGATTCTAAACTTTTTCAGACTTTTTAAAAAATATTCAAGGTAGTTTACTTTTTGTAATAAAACCACTTAGCTCTTGTAAATAGTAATTTGAGTAGAGAATAGCAGTGTACTGTTGACTTACTAAAAACAGGAAATCAAATAAATCCTGCTTTGATGGTTACATTTTTTCAGAAAACTCTCCTTATGAGAGTCAGGACTCTTGAGTTCAGTCTTTAGCTGTGCCATGTAAAAAGATTATAGCCTTGGAAGGACTGTTTTTCTCTTATTTAAAATTTCTCATCAGTAAAATTCTCTCTCAGGGAAATATGATTCTGAATATACTTGACTCATAGACAGCCAGTGAGATTAGTATTTCCTTGCTCAGCATTTTGAGGTTTGTTTATTTTTTTTTCATAGGCCTAACCATATTAATAAAAACATTTACCATATTGTTAAATTGACTTACGTTGTTGTTTAATGTGGACGCACAGCTGACCCTTGGGTGGGTTTTCAGAAGCAGTGAATCCCATGGACGGAGATTGCCCATCCTTCTCCCTTAGCACAAATTGACTTCTATACTCCTTAATTCCTTCTTCTTGGCTATCACTTTGACCATTTTATTGAAAGCAGGCAGGGATATTTCTTACTCTTTATCCCTCCTAAGTTTTCATGGCCACTAAATGTGGGCCTTAGCAAGGCTCAACACTGGTTTGACAGCACGGCAGTATTTGTCCAGTAGTGTTTCAGATGTTTTTGTAATTATTTTGTCTCATTTTCTCAAACGTGCCATTTTCTGTTCCTACAGCTCTTACAGGTAGGCTCATACGGTATATATCCCAAATAATCAGGAGAGTCACATAGGGGAAATCATGCTATACGAGTACTTTGTTGACTCTGTGTGTACATTCAAACTTAAACTAAAATTATCTTAATGCAGTCATTTTGTTCATCATTGTAAGTGTCCCCAAAGGACCATCTCATTTCTCATACATGCATGAAGGTATGTGACGTGGAGAAAAGAGCTTAACTCCTTGGAATACTGTTTTCTTGGGGAAACTTTGTGATGAATTACTGTTTATTTCTCTTGGAGTTCAGCTTTTTAAAAATCAATGAGAAAACATCAGGAAAGTGTCCATTTATAGTTTTCAGAACTATTTTTTAATCATTGCAGCATTTACCCTTCTCTTAGAAGAAGATGACATCATGCTTGGTAAAGTGGAGGGTCAGGGAAAGAATAAAAGACCTTCAACAAGAGGGGTTGATACAGTACTGTAAGAAAGGGCTCAAGTATAATGGAGATGATGAGGATGGTACAGGACAGGGCAGGGTACAGACCCACTGTTCAGAGAGTCACTTGGGTCATGGTCAACTCGATGACACCTTAACAACAGCAAATATGGAGAATAAAGTCAAGACAAAAACACCTATTTAAGAAGAGAATAGTATAGGCTATTTTATAAGGATAAATTCTATAGTATTCTTACACTGTGC